TAAATCCACAAAGGCAATGAAAACTTCCCTACCTTAATCTAAATACTGTTCACATATATGCTTCAATGTATACACAATCTACACATCCCCTACCCACTCTAAAACCTCCTTGCTCATTCACAATCCTACATTCTGTCTTGCCTCTTATTTTTTCAATAATAACCCTACCATACACTTTTCCTGATATATTCAGCAAACTAATTCCTCTATAATTTTTACAATCTCTTCCCGTTATATAAAGGAACTATACATGCTCTCTACCAATCTCTAGGTACGTTCTCCCCTTTCATATATTTTTTTTTTTATCACACTGGCCGATTCCCACCAAGGCAGGGTGGCCCGAAAAAGAAAAACTTTCACCATCATTCACTCCATCACTGTCTTGCCAGAAGGGTGCTTTACACTACAGTTTTTAAACTGCAACATTAACACCCCTCCTTCAGAGTGCAGGCACTGTACTTCCCATCTCCAGGACTCAAGTCCGGCCTGTCGGTTTCCCTGAACCCCTTCATAAATGTTACTTTGCTCACACTCCAACAGCACGTCAAGTATTAAAAACCATTTGTCTCCATTCACTCCTATATTTATTAAACAAAAATACCAACCACTCTAACCCCCGCTGCTTTTAACATTTCTGTCATGATCCCATCAGTTCCAGCTGCTTTACCCCCTTTCATTCTACGTAATGCCTCACACACCTCCCCCACACTCACATCCTGCTCTTCTTCACTCCTAAAAGATGGTATACCTCCCTGGCCAATGCATGAAATTACTGCCTCTCTTTCTTCATCGACATTTAAAAGTTCCTCAAAATATTCCTGCCATGTACCCAATACCTCCATCTCCCCATCTACTAACTCTCTTACTCTGTTTTTAACTGACAAATCCATTCGTTCCCTAGGCTTTCTTAGCTTGTTTAACTCACTCCAATTTTTTTTTTCTTATTTTCATTAAAATTTCTTGACAGTGCCTCTCCCACTATCATCTGCTCTCCTTTTGCACTCTCTTCACCTTTCTTTTACTCTCCATATACTCTGCTCTTCTTACAACACTTCTGCTTTGTAAAAACCTCTCATAAGTTACCTTTTTCTCTTTTATCACACCCTTTACTTCATCATTTCACCAATCACTCCTCTTTCCTCCTGCACCCACCCTCTTGTAACCACAAACTTCTGCCCCACATTATAATACTGCATTCTTAAAACTATTTCAACCCTCTTCAGCCCCCTCCCCCCTCCCCACTACTCATACTTGCACCAGCCCACCTTTCTGCCGATAGTTGCTTATATCTCACCTGAACTTCCTCCTCCCTTAGTTTATACTTTCACCTCTCTCTTACTTGTTGCCATTTTCCTCTTGTCCCATCTACCTCTTACATAACTGTAGCTACAATTAAATAATGATCCAATATATCAGTTGCCCCTCTATAAACATGTACATCCTGGAGCCTACCCACCAACCTTTTATCCACCAATACATAATCTAACAAACAATTTTTACCCACTTTAGCATTGAAATCCCCAACCACAAGTACTCTCACACTTGATTCAAAACTCTCCATGCATTCACTCAACATTCTTCATCAATCAATCTAATCAATATCATCATCAATCAATTACTCATATCTACCAATCAATATCTTCATCAATCTTATCAATATCTATCTACCAATCAATATCTATCAATCAATCAATATCTATCAATCAATCTCTATCAATATCTATCAATCAATCAATCTCTATCAATCAATATCTATCTATCTATCAATATCTATCAATATCAATCAATCTATCAATATCAATCAATCAATCAATATCTATCAATATCAATATCTATCAATATTAATCATCAATCAATATCTTCTATCAATATCAATCAATATCAATCAATCTATCAATATCAATCAATCAATCAAATATCTATCAATCAATATCAATCAATCAATATCTATCAATATCAATCAATCAATATCAATCAATCAAATATCTATCAATCAATATCAATCAATCAATCAAATATCTATCAATCAATATCAATCAATCAATATCAATCAATCAATATCAATCAATATATCAATATCAATCAATCAATCAAATATCTATCAATCAATATCAATCAATCAATATCAATCAATCAATCAATAATCAATCAATCAATATCAATCAATCAATATCAATCAATCAATATCAATCAATCAATATCAATCAATCAATATCAATCAATCAATATCAATCTATCAATCTATCTATATCTATCAATATCTATCAATATCAATCAATCTATCAATATCAATCAATCAATCAATCAATATATATCTATCTATCTATCAATATCAATCAATCAATATTTATCTATCTATCAATATCAATCAATCAATATCTATCTATCAATATCAATCAATCAATCAATATCTATCTATCAATATCAATCAATCAAATATCTATCAATATCAATCAAATATCTATCTATCTATCAATATCAATCAATCAATATCAATCAATATACAGTGGACCCCCGGTTAACGATATTTTTTCACTCCATAAGTATGTTCAGGTGCCAGTACTGACCGAATTTATTCCCATAAGGAATATTGTGAAGTAGATTAGTCCATTTCAGACCCCAAAACATACACGTACAAACGCACTTACATAAATACACTAACATAATTGGTCGCATTCGGAGGTAATCGTTATGCGGGGGTCCACTGTATATCTCTCCCTCTCTCTCTCTCTCTCTCTCTCTCTCTCTCTCTCCATCTCTCTCTCTCTCTCTCATCTCTCTCTCTCCATCTCTCTCTCTCCATCTCTCTCTCTCTCTCCATCTCTCTCTCTCTCTCCATCTCTCTCTCTCCTCTCTCTCTCTCTCCATCTCTCTCTCTCCTCTCTCTCTCTCTCCCCTCTCCATCTCTCTCTCTCTCCATCTCTCTCTCTCTCTCCATCTCTCTCTCTCTCTCTCTCTTCTCCTCCTCTCTCTCTCTTTCCATCTCTCTCTCTCTCTCTTCTCCAGGTGCACATACGCTTACTATAACCCACTTTTCATGTTCAACCTTTATTTTACTCCACATAATCCTTGAATTAATACATTTATACTCCCTCTTTTCCTGCTTTAGCTTATCCTTCAACATTATTGCTGCTCCTCCTTTAGCTCTAACTATTTGAAAACCCTGACTTAATCCCATTTATTTCTCTCCACTGAAACTCTCCCACCCCCTTCAGCTTTCACTTAACCCCTTGACTGTCGCAACCCCAAATCCTGAGGTGTCTCCTGGTGTCGCAAAATCCCCCCCCTCATTTTTTTTCTTATGAAATAATAGAGAATCTTTTCCTCATTGTAATGACACCAAAAGAACGAAATTTGATGGAAAACTGACAGAATTATGCTCTCGTGAAGTTAACGACCTCGGCGATATTTACGAATCGGCGATTTTGCCCACTTTGAGCCCTGTTTTCGGCTATTTCCATTGTTCCAGTCGACCAAACTCATAGCTATTTCTTTAGAACTCCATTTTTTTCTATTGACTGAGTACAAGAAACTGCCCATTTACCGATTTCAACTACCCAATAACGCATGGCTTACGGAGGAAAGATTCTTATTCCACTTCCCCATGGATATAAAAGGAAAAGTAATAAGAACAAGAACTACTATGATAAAATCAAAGAAAACTCAGATTAGTGCGTATAAATAAATGTGTACTTGTATGTGTAGTGTAACTTTAGTGTAAGTAGAAGTAGCAAAACATACCTGTAATCTTGCATATTTATGAGACAGACAAAAGGCACCAGCAATCCTACCATCATGTAAAACAATTACATGCTTTCGTTTTACACTCACTTGGCAGGACGGTAGTACCTTCCTGGGTGGTTGCTGTCTACCAACCTACTACCTATAATCATGTCAGCTATTTTCAACAAAGGCAAGGTGACCTAAAGGAAACGCATCTCTCATTCTTTGGTTAACTTCCCGTAAGTGCATGGATATCACACTCCAAATTGCAATATCCTCACCCATTCTTCAGTGCAGATACTGTACATCCTGCCTCCAGAATTCAACCAGTTTACCTGTTTCTCCTAATACCTTCATAGATGTTACCTTGCTCTCACCCCATCAGCTTTAGGACGATATGTTACAGAAGATGGTTGCAAAAGTTTTTTTTTTTTTTGCTGGGGGGGGGGGGGTATTGGTAATGAGAGAAGAAGAAAAAGAACGAAAGAATGAGAGAGAGCGAGAGAATGAGACAGAATGAGAACAAGAATGAGAGAGAGCACAGAAAAGAGCAAGCTGGTGAGAGTAAGAAAAATAGTTTTTGAAAACACTACTTACCAGATTGAAGGCTCCAATAGTCTGTTATAACAGCATTCAAGTTAAATAAAATTTGGCAATGTATACACTAGATAGCTAAGTTCTAGTTTACCATGAATTAGTAATATGCAAGATACATATTTACACGAACAACGGATCAAGCACTACAGACTATGTAATTAACATTGTTGACGGATTACTGCATTTCATAAATGATTTGCCAGATATCTGTTGATCTATTATGCAACTTTTAAAAATCATATCTTTCCCTCATTTCAATAGTAATGAAAGAACTGTTTAGTAAAATCTGCATGTTGCTCCTGTCTTTGGTACTTAAAGATGAAAGAATTCTCAAGAGGCAAGTATCTGAAAAAGATTCTTGCAAGCAGGTACTTCAAGAAGGAAAGTACTCATGGAGTGTGAGAAATCAAAAACACAAGAAATATTGAAAATATCTTATCACATGAAGAGTTGTACTACTACAATAAGATTATTAAGGTATGCCATAATTTATTTATCAACAAAACACATGTTTGGCCATCCAAAATGTTTTTTCACTTTCAAATTGGTTTTCTCATTTTCTAAAGAAAAATTTCCCATATTATAGTAAAAAAAAAATGCCAAATCTGTGTGGATTGTAGAGTGGCAAACAATTTGCAGTAGAAATCTACATTAAACATTGTACTTTTCTTATATCATACCTTGTGAAGACAAGTGTCCACAACATGATTAGTAATAGCTTCATGATCATTAGAGAGTAGAAGGCGCGACCGTACAAAAGCACATAAATCTTCGTTCGTCATAACATCCCAGATTCCATCACAAGCCAGCACTAAAAACTCATCATCATCCTGGCGACGTTCAACATATATTTCAGGTTCAGGAGACACCAGCTGCTCACATGGACCTTTACCCTCCACATTCTGAAAAACAACAAATAAGATATCTACACTGACGAGTAACCACCTTCAGCAAAACCATGAAAATAAAGATGCTCAGGAGAAAAAAAAAAAAATATGCAAACAAGTATGATCTTTGGAACTATCACAGGGATTTTTTTTTTTTTCAACAAACCAGCCATATCCCACCTAGGCAGGGTGACCTGTCTAGGTGGGATATGGGATATTCAGGATTTCCTCTTTTTAAATTTAGTAATGTATACAGAAGGGATTACTAGCCCCTTGCTCCCAGCATTTTAGTCACCTCTTGCAACACGCATGGCTTACAGAGGAAGAATTCTGTTCCACTTCCCTATGGAGACACAAGGTAATACTAAGATAAATTTATCTTGAAACCAATTTTCTAGGGTGAAATTGTAATAACACAATTATAAACAACTCACAGAAAATGTAGGGTTTAAACCCAGCATGATACAGTGGTTAGAGCACTAGACTCCTAATTTTAGGAATGGCTTGCCATGGCTTGCCATAGGAGGCAAAGAGGGGAATGTATGAGAGTATAGTTTTACCAACACTCTTATATGGGTGTGAAGCATGGGTGATGAATGTTGCAGCGAGGAGAAGGCTGGAGGCAGTGGAGATGTCATGTCTGAGGGCAATGTGTGGTGTGAATATAATGCAGAGAATTCGTAGTTTGGAAGTTAGGAGGAGGTGCAGGATTACCAAAACTGTTGTCCAGAGGGCTGAGGAAGGGCTGTTGAGGTGGTTCGGACATGTAGAGAGAATGGAGAGAAACAGAGTGACTTCAAGAGTGTATCAGTCTGAAGTGGAAGGAAGGCGGGGTAGGGGTCGGCCTAGGAAAGATTGGAGGGAGGGGGTAAAGGAGGTTTTGTGTGCGAGGGGCTTGGACTTCCAGCAGGCATGCATGAGCGTGTTTGATAGGAGTGAATGGAGACAAATGGTTTTTAATACTTGACGTGCTGTTGGAGTGTGAGCGAAGTAACATTTATGAAGGGGTTCAGGGAAACCGGCAGGCCGGACTTGAGTCCTGGAGATGGGAAGTACAGTGCCTGCACTCTGAAGGAGGGGTGTTAATGTTGCAGTTTAAAAACTGTAGTGTAAAGCACCCTTCTGGCAAGACAGTGATGGAGTGAATGATGGTGAAAGTTTTTCTTTTTCGGGCCACCCTGCCTTGGTGGGAATCGGCCAGTGTGATAATAATAAATAATAATATTTTTTTTTTAACAAGTCAGCCATCTCCCACCAAAGCAGGGTGACCCAAAAAGAAAGAAAATCCCCAAAAAGAAAATACTTTCATCATTCAACACTTTCACCTCACTCACACATAATCACTGTTTTTGCAGAGGTGCTCAGAATACAACAGTTTAACCCTTTCAGGGTCCGTCCCGTAGATCTACGGCTTTACGTTCAGGGTCCAAACCGTAGATCTACGGCTTTACGTTCAGGGTCCAAACCGTAGATCTACGTCATGAGCTCAGCTCACTCTGATAAACTGTGAGTGGTAAATTTGGGCCTAGATATGAGAGAATACATCTATGTGGTATGTGTGCACCACATAAAACAAATCCTGCAGCACACTGTGTATGATGAGAGAAAAAAAAACAGACCGTGATTTTCGATTAAAACAGCGACTTTGCAGCGTTTATTCGTATGTTTTTTATAGTTGTATTTGTGATTTCTTGGTCTCATTCGATAGAATGGAAGACATATTACAGAAATAGAGATAATTTTGATTGGTTTTAGCACTGGAAATGGCTTGAAACTGAGCTCAAAGTGGCGGAAATGTTAAATTTTTGCCGATGTTCAAGAGTAAACAAACGACCTCACACGTCTAATACACGCCAGCTGGTGGGTCTAATATGCATTCACAAATGTGGTGATATTTATACAATTATTACAATATTGCATAACAGTAAATCTTCTCTTTTTTGTGTGAATAAAAATTCATTATGTGAATAAAAAATCAAAATGGAATTTATTTGTATAGCCTCAAAACATAATTAATGAACAGAGGAAATGTTAGTTTAGTGCCAGGAATACCTACAGTGTTTATTCTGGACCCCATTTTGAAATTGGAATATTTTGAACTTTGTGTATTAAATTGGCCAAATTACCAATTTCCGGTCACTTTATTTTGTAGTTGAAACAGTTGACTTAGCGATTTCTTGTGCTCAATCGTTAGAATAGAAGTAATGCTAGTGAAATAGCTAAGAATTTGGTCGACTGGAACAATGTAATTGGCCTAAAATGGGAGTCAAAGTCGGCAAAATCGCCGATTCGCAAATATCGCTGACACATCAAAATTCACGAGAGCATAATTTCGTCAATTTTCCATCAAATTTCATACTTTTTGTTTTATTACATTCACAAAAAGATTCTCTACCATTTCATAAGAAAAAAAATAACAATTTTTTTTTTTTAAATTCTTGGACACTGGGGCACCACTTCAGAATTTGGCCTTGGACCCTGAAAGGGTTAAAAGCATATACTTATAAAGATACACAACATATCCCTCCAAACTGCCAATAACCCAGACCCCTCTTTAAAAGTGCAGGCATTGTACTTCCCATTTCCAGGATTCAAGTCCAACTATATAAAAAATAACCGGTTTGAAGCATATATGTGAACAGTATTTAGATAAAGGTAGGGAAGTTTTCACTGCATTTATGGATTTAGAAAAGGCATACGACAGAATCGATAGGGGAGCACTGTGGCATATGTTGCAAGTGAATGGAATAGGTAATAACTTAATAAATGCTGTAAAGAGTTTTTATGAGGGTAGTGAGGCTCAGGTTAGGGTGTGTAGGAGAGAGGGAGATTACTTCCTGGAAAAAGTAGGTCTTAGACAGGGACGTGTAATGTCACCATGGTTATTTAATACAGTGGACCCTCGACCAACGATATTATTCCATTCCTGAGGGCTCATCGTTAGTAGAAATTATCGTTAGTCGAGTTAATTTTCCCCATAAGAAATGATGGAAATCAAATTAATCCGTTCCTGACACCCCAAAGAATATAAAAAAAAAATTTTACCACATGAAATATTAATTTGAATACACACAAACTGAAGAAGACATGTACAATTACATGACACTTACCTTTATTGAAGATCTGGTGATGATTGATGGGATGGGAGGAGGGGAGAGTGTGGATGTTAGTGTTTAGAAGGGGAATCCCCTTCCATTAGGACTTGAGGTGTCAAGTCCTTTTCTGGGGTTACTTCCCCTCTTCTTTTAATGCCACTAGGACCAGCTCGAGTCACTGGACCTCTGTCGCACAACATACCTGTCCACAGAGGCCTGTACTTCCCATTCCTTTATGACATTCCTAAAGTGTTTCACAACATGGTCAGTGTAATAGTCACCACCACGGCTTCCAACAGCTGCGTGAGGGCGAGTATCATCAAAAAAGGTTTGCACTTTAAGCCACACTGCACACATTTCCTTAATCTTTGAAGTAGACAACTTCCTCAATTTCTCTATCCCCTTCTCCGGAGCAGTTTCCTCAGGTCTGGCTTCTTGCTGTTGAAGATGATCTAGCAGCTCGTCAGTGGTTAGTTCTTCATTGTCCTCCTCCACCAACTCTTCCACATCCTCCCCACTAACCTCCAACCCCAAGGACTTCCCGAATGCCACAATTGATTCCATAACTGGCATAGGCTTCTGAAGGTTAGCCTCAAATCCTTTAAAATCCCTTTTGTCTACACATTCTGGCCACAGTTTCTTCCAAGCAAAGTTCAAGGTTCTCTTAGTCACTTCCTCCCAAGCCTTACCTATAATGTTTACACAATTGTGGATGCTAAAGTTATCTCTCCAAAACTCTCTTAGAGTCAATCGAGTTTCTGAGGTCACTACAAAGCACCTTTCAAACATAGCTTTTGTGTAGTTTTTTTGAAGTTTGCAATGACCTGCTGGTCCATGGGCTGCAGGAGAGGAGTGGTATTAGGAGGCAAAAACTTGACCTTAATGAAGCTCATGTCCCCAGAAAGTCGCTCTGCCACATCTGAAGGATGACCAGGAGCTTTGTCTAATACCAGGAGGCACTTAAGGTCCAATTTATTTTCCAGGAGGTAATTTTTCACAGTGGGGGCAAATGCATGGTGTAACCAGTGATAGAAGAAGTCCCTAGTGACCCATGCCTTACTGTTTGCCCTCCACAGCACACACAAATTAGCCTTGAGGACATTGTTTTTCCTGGACACTCTGGGAGTTTCAGAGTGATACACCAATAAAGGCTTCACTTTGCAATCACAACTAGCATTAGCACACATCAACAGAGTAAGCCTGTCTTTCATAAGTTAATGTCCTGGGAGTGCCTTTTCCTCCTGAGAAATGTAGGTCCTGCTTGGCATTTTCTTCCAAAACAGGCCTGTTTCATCACAACAAAACACTTGTTCAGGTTTCAATTCTTCACTGTCTATGTACTCCTTGAATTCCTGCACATATTTTTCAGCTGCTTTTTGGTCCGAACTGGCAGCCTCACCATGCCTTATCACACTATGTATGCCACTACGATTCTTAAATCTCTCAAACCAACCTTTGCTGGCCTTAAATTCACTCACATCACCACTAGTTGCAGGTATTTTTCTAATTAAATAGTCATGCAACTTCCTAGCCTTTTCACATATGATCGCTTGAGAGATGTTGTCTCCTGCTATCTGTTTTTCGTTTATCCGCACCAATAAGTCTCTCAACATCTTCTATCACTTGCGATCTCAGTTTCGAAAACATAGTTGCACCTTTGGCAAGAACAGCTTCCTTGATTGCCGTTTTGTTGGCCACGATAGTAGCGATGGTTGATTGGGGTTTTGTGTACAACCTGGCCAGCTCGGAGACACGCACTCCACTTTCATACTTAGCAATGATCTCTTTCTTCATATCCATAGTAATTCTCACCCTTTTTGCTGTAGGGTTGGCACTAGAAGCTTTCTTGGGGCCCATGGTGACTTATTTTGCAGGTGCAATCACTAAAAACGCTGTGATAATATGAAATGTTCCGATTGTATGTTTGGATGCAACCGCGGTGGCTGGCTGGCTTGTAAACACTGGCACCCATGGGACAAGTGAGGTGCGCTCAGGCCACACATGCACGCGTCTTGAATGGAACGAATTGCGTTGGTCTAGTTTTTTAGCGCTAGTCAAGGCAAAATTTTTGCATTAAAATGTATCACTAGTCGGATTTAACGTTATACAATGCCATCGTTGGTCGAGGGTCCACTGTATATTTATAGATGGGGTTGTAAAAGACGTAAATGCTAAGGTGTTGGGGAGAGGGGTGGGATTAAATTATGTGGAATCAAATACAAAATGGCAGTTGACACAGTTACTTTTTTACTGATGATACTGTGCTTATGGGAGATTCTAAAGAAAAGTAGCAAAAGTTAGTGGATGAGTTTGGGAGGGTGCGTGAAGATAGAAAGTTGAAAGTGAACATAGATAAGAGTAAGGTGATGAGGGGTATCAAACAATTTAGATAAAGAAAAATTGGATGTCACATTGGAGAGAGGGAGTATGGAAGACGTAAATGTTTTCAGATACGTGTGCATTTGGGAGCCGACTTGTCAGCAGATGGGTTTATGAAGGATGAGGTTAACCATAGAATTGATGAAGGAAAAAAGGTGAGTGATGCATCGAGGTATCTGTGGAGACAAAAAACATTATCCATGGAGGCAAAGAAGGGAATGTACGAAAGTAGTGGTACCAACACTCTTATATGAGTGCGAAGCTTGAGTTGCAAATGCTGCAGCAAGGAGGCAGCTGGAGGCAGTGGACATGTCCCGTCTACGGGCAATGTGTGGTGTAAATATTATGTAGAGAATTCGTAGTGTGGAAATTAGGAGGTGTGGAGTTACTAAAAGTATTAGTCAGAGGGCTGAAGAGGGGTTGTTGAGGTGGTTTAGTCATTCTGAAAGTATGGATCAAAGTACAATGACTTGGAGAGCATATAAATCTGTAGGGGAAGGAAGGCGGGGGTAGGGGTCGTCTTTGAAAAAGTTGGAGGGAGGGGGTAAAGGAGGTTTTGTGGGCGAGGGGCTTGGATTTCCAGCAAGCATGAGCGAGTGTGTTAGATAGAAGTGAATGGAGACTAATGGTTTTTGGGACCTGATGAACTGTTGGAGTGTCAGCAGGGTAATATTTTATGAAGGGATTCAAGGAAACCGGTTAGCCGGACTTGAGACCTGGAAATGTAAAGTACAATGCTTGCACTTTAAAGGAGGGGTTTAAGATATTGGCAGTTTGGAGGGATTCTGAACTGTCGTATCTGAGCGCCTCTGCAAAGACAGTGATTATGTATGAGTGAGGTGAAAGTGTTGAATGATGATGATAGCATTTTCTTTTTGGGGATTTTCTTTCTTTTTGGGTCACCCTGCCTCAGTGGAAGACAACCGAAGTTTAAAAAAAAAAAAAATGTAATCAAAATAATTACTTACTTTGTACTCGTAATCGCCAAGTGCTCGAGAAACAGCAAGTGATCCATTTACTCTCTGAATCATGACAGATCCCCCTGCATTCTGGATCCTCTCCTTCTCTATAGGGTTGACAGGTTTATGGTCTTGAGTGCTAAAGCCAATGTTGCCTGCACGATACAAGACTCCCCGCGAGTCTCCACAATTGGCTACAAAGATGTGTGTAGGCGATATAAGAGCACATACTGCTGTAGTGCCACTCTTATCTTCCCCACTTGCAACCTGTTAACATAATATCTAAATTGGCAACATATATCAGAAAAAATTAACAGCATTCTAAAAACAATCAATTTGTTTTTATTTCATCATCAATCTAAAAGATACACTCTTTCTATAGTGACATACCCCACTTTACAAGACTTTGTACAATTGATCACGGTTGCCAAAAGTCACCATTTTTCTCAGTGATTACTTTTTTAATTTTTACTGTTACTCTTCAAGCATTTCAATGGGTGGATATTAAAATTGAGCAAAGGTTCTTTCCTCTCTTATATAATTTTCCATATTAAATTATCTTCATACTAACTGGGGTGTGGAGATTAACTAGATGGATTTATTTGGTTTACCTAGCATGTGGCCTTTTAGGCCATTCAGCAATGATCAATAAAATGTAAAATCCTATATGCAACATTCTGACATGAACACACAAAAAGCTTATAAAATTTAAGACACACAAATCATAAATATTAAAGGTGCAAACAATTAAAAATTAAGAACCCACAGTAAAACCATCCTTAAAAAACACTCCAAGCTTAAAAGGAGGATAAAAAGTGGTTAACAACCCATTTGTTAAGTAAGCTTATGTTCTCTCTTATGCTACAGGAGCTAGTCAGAAAATTCCCCAATACCGATTTGAGACAATGGACAAGAAAGAATTTCTCAATTTGCCTGCCCCTGAATAAAAGCAGGACACATACTTACCTGTGGCCACTAGCTTGGATCACCAGAATCCCTTTTGCAATTCCCCAGCTAGGGAATTGCATTAGATATAGGCAAGTCAGGCTCAAATGAGCCTGGAATACCTCTTATCAGGTATCAGGGGACTAACAACATACGTCAACCTCTAACCATCACTGAATTCACCGCAATACTATTAGACAATTTCATAAGGGCTTGTACTCTATACACAGTATTGTATGTGCATTACAATTATTTTTTGCAATGTATTCCATCCAACTGGTGTGTCTGAAGGACAATATGTTTTCATGCTGTATTCTATCCCTGCTCATACTCCAACAGTTCATCAGGTTCCAAAAACCATTTGACTCCATTCTCTCCTATCGAACACGCTTGCACACACCTGCTGCATGTCCAAGCCCTCCATTCATTCCCAGGACGAATCCTACCCTTCTCCCCTCCACTACAGATTTATACACCCTCCAAGTCATCCTATTTTGCTCCACACTCTCTAAATGATCAAACCACCTCAACAACCCCTCTTCAGCCTTCTGATAATACTTTTAGTAATTTCACATCTCCTCCTAATTTCCACACTACGAATTCTCTGCATATTATTTACACCACACACTGCACTTCGACACGACATCTCCACTGCCTCCAGCCGCCTCCTTCCTGCAGCATTTACAACCCATCCTTCACACCCATGTAAGTGTTGGTACCACTATACTCTCATACATTCCCTTCTTTGCCTCCATGGATAATGTTTTTTGTCTCCACAGATACCTCAATGCACTACTCTCCTTTTTTCCTTCATCAATTCTGTAGTTACCCTTGTCCTTTATTAACCCATCCTCTGACAAGTCTACTCCCAAACATCTGAACTCATTCACTTCTTCCATACTCCCTCCCTCCAATGTGATATCCAATTTTTCTTTACTTAACTTACTTGATACCCTCACCACCTTACTCTTATCTATGTTCACTATCAACTTTCTTCCTGTACACACCCTCCCAAACTCATCCACTAACCTTTGCAACTTTTCAATAGAATCTCCCAAAAGCACAATATCATCAGCAAAAAGTAACAACTCCCATGGTGACATCATACATCCCTATCTAAGGCCTACTTTTGTTTTTGTTTTTGGGACCACCCTGCCTCGGTGGGATACAGCCAGTTTGTTGAAAGAAGAAGAAAGATCTAAGGCCTACTTTTACTTGGAAATAATCTTCCTCTCTCCTACACACCCTAACTTGAGCCTCATTATCCTCATAAAAACTCTATGAAGTGGTACCTCAAATTACGAGTGTCTCAACTTACGAGTTTTCCGAGTTACAAGCTGTAGCTCGGTCGATTTTTTGCTCTGAATTGCAAAGTTACAAGCGAGCGTCAGATACGCCGTCACTAATTGGCAGTGCATCTGAAGTCAAATCCAACTCTGTACCCAGAGGAATGTCTGGTACTTCATCCCATCCCACATGCTCTTCCAAGACACAACTGGAAGGATAATACTTCCACACTAATCCCAGATTGTAGTGAGGCATCTCATCCCTTGTTTGGTTCTCCTATAAGTCTGGGGAAAAGGTAACCTCCATTTCAACACTCAGAGTTTTTCCAGAAACATTAATTGAAGTGGGTGAAGTAGTGATGGTGGTGGGTGGAGTAGTGATGGTGGTGGGTGGAGTAGTGATGGTGGTAGGTGGAGTAGTGAGGGTGGTGGGTGTCAGAGATGGTGGTGGGTGGGTTATTGAAGGTGGTGGGTGGAGTAGTGAGGATAGTGAATGGAGTAGTGATAATGGTGGGTGTAGTGAGAATGGTAGGTGTAATGGTGGGCAGAGTATACAATATTTCTTATTCATAAATACCTTTTTCTTATTTAAAAACCCGTAACAAAAAAAATTGGGGTGGTTTTTCGAGGACTGGAACGGATTAATGGCATTTCAATTAATTTCAATGAGGAAAATTCATTTGGTATACGAGCAAATTGAGTTACGAGCTCGGTCACAGAACGAATTAAACTGGTAAGTCAAGGTACCAATGTACAGCATTTAGTAACTTACTACCTATTCTATACATTTGCAACATCTGCCACATTGCTCCCCTATCCACCTTATCATATGTCTTTTCTAAATCCATAAATGTAATGAAAACATCCCTACCTTTATCTAAATATTGTTCATGTGTATGCTTCAATGTAAACACTTGATCTACACATCCCCTACCCATTCTAAACCCTCCTTGTTCATCTGCAATCCTGCTCTCTGTCTTACCTATAATTCTTTCGACAATAACCCTACCATATACTTTACGTAGTATACTCAGTAAACTATTCACCTACAATCCCTTTTGTCCCTCTTTCCCTTACATAAAGGAATTATGCATGCTCTCTGCCAATCCCTAGGTACCTTCCCCTCTTTCAAACATTTACTGAACAAAAGTACCAACTACTCCAACACTACCCCTGCCCCCCTTGCCCCAGTGCTTCTAACATTTCTGTCGTGATCCCATCAGTTCCAGCTGCTTTACCCCTTTCATTCTACCTAATACCTCACGCACCTCCCCCACACTCACACCCAGCTCTTTTTCACTCCTAAATAATGTTATACCTCCCTGACCAATGCATGAAATTACTGCCTCCCTCTCTTCAACAACATTTAATAGTTCCTCATAAAATTCCCACCATCTTTCCAATACCTCCAACTCCTCAATCTACTAACCATTTCTTATGAAATGGTAGAGAAAATTTTTCTGAAGGTAACAAAAACAAAAAAGTACGAAATTTGATGGAAAATTAACGAAATTATGCTCTCATGAATTTTGATGTGTCAGCAATATTTATGCATTGGCGATTTTGCTGACTGACTCCCATTTTAGGCCAATTACATTTTTCCAATTGACCAAATTCTTAGCTATTTCACTAGTATTACTTTATTCTATCGATTGAGCACAAGAAATCTCCACGTCAACTGTTTCAACTACAAAATAAAGTGATCGGAAATTGGTAATTTGGCCAATATAATGCAAAGTTTGAAATATTCCAATTTCAAAATAGGGTCCAGAATAAACAATGCAGGTATTCCTGGCACTAAACTAACATTTCCTCTGTTCGTTAGTTACGTTTTCAGGCTTCACAAATGAATTCCATTTTGATTTTTTATTCACAATGAATTTTTATTCAAACCAAAAAATAGAAGATTTACTGTTATGCAATATTGTAATAACTGTATAAATAATATCACCACATTTGTGAATGTATATTAGACCCACAAGCTGGCATGTATTAGACGTGTGAGGTCATTTGTTTACTCTTAACCATCAGCAAAAATTTAACATTTCCGCTACTTTGAACTCAGCTTCAAGCCATTTTCGGTACTAAAACCAATCAAAATCATCTCTATTTCTGCAATATATCTTCCATTCTATTAAATGAAACCAAGAAATCATAAATACAACTACAAAAAACATACAAAAAAACACTGCAAAGTCGCTGTTTTAATCGAAAATTATGGTCTCAGTTTTTCTCATTATGCACAGGATTTGTTTTATGTGGTGTACACATACCACATAGATGTATTCTCTCATATCTAGGCCCAAATTTACCGCTCACAGCTTATCAGTGTGAGCCAAGCTCATGTCGTAGATCTACGATTTGGACCCTTAACGGCACGGACCCTGAAAGAGTTTAAACTGTAAAATCTATTCATTCCCTAGGCTTTCTTAACTTATTTATCTCACTCCAAAATTTTTTATTTTTAGCAAAATTTGCTGACAACGCCTTACCCACTATCATTTGCTCTCCTTTTGCACTCCATCACCACTTTCTTCACCTCTCTTTTACTCTCGATATACTCCACCCTTCTTATATCACTTCTGCTCCATAAAAATCTCTCATATGTGACCTTTTCCTGTTTTATCACACCCTTCGCCTCATCATTCCACCAATCACTCCTCTTTCCTCCTGCACCCACCGTCCAATAACCATAAACTTCTGCTCTGCATTCTAACACTGCTTTTTTAACCCTTTGAGGGTCGAGAGCCTCGATCCTTGACTCCCACTGGGGGTCGAAAAATATTAGGAAAAAAAAATTATTTTTTTTCTTTTGAAATGATAAAGAGACTTTTCCTAATTGTAATGACATCAAAAGTATGAAATTTTATAGAAAACTTACGGAATTATGCTCTCACAAAGTCAGCAGTCTCGATGATATTTACGCACTGGCAATTCTGCCTACTTTGAGCCCTATTTTCAGCCAATTCCAATGTTCCAGTACAAGAAATTGCCCATTTACTGATTTCAACTACCCAATAGTGGTCAGAAATTGGC